TGGTGGGCGAGACACTGGAACAGGTTGCCCGGAGAAGTTGTGGCTGCCCCATCACGGGAAGTGTTCAGGGTCAGGTTGGATGGGGCCCTGAGCAACGTGATTATTGTGAACGATGTCCCTGCCCATGGCAGGGGGGGTGGACTAGATGAGCTTTAACGGTCCCTTCCCACCCAAACCATTCTGTGATGGATGAAGGGCAGCCAGGGAGCAAAGCCTCATGCCCCAAGGGAGCAGAGCAGTTTCCAGCACCCTTCCCAACACCTCTGCCCCTTTATTGTCCAGATGAATCTTTTGATGAAGACTGCTTTGACGAGGAAGCATACTACACAGCCTTGGGAACCCGTCCGGCCCTCAACATGGAGGAACTGGACCCATCCTACCAGTACATGATTGACCTCTTTTCTGTCTGCACCAGCGAGGACCCCAAGAAGCGTCCCTCGGCTGCGTGCATCGTGGAAGCCCTGGAGGCAAGTCTGTCCCAGAAGTAAAAGCATCCGAGCTCCTGCACCTGTGCTGTAGAGGTGAGGATTTAAACTTAGATAAGTAAGGCTACTCCTGCAGCATTTATCCTTCTAAGTATGCAAAACCTGCTCTGTGTACTTAAAACCAGTGCCTAAACTCCTTAAACACTAACTCCTGATTTAAGGATTTAAGGCTTGCTCTGTTTCTTGAGCGATCCCCTCCTGCCTGCACTTAGGTCCTAAATAAGCTACGTGTTCGGTGCAGTAGTTTGAGTTGTCATGTTACTGCTGTTTTAAAACCCTTCCCTCTCTGTGTGTTAATTAACACTGAGATATTAAAAAAATTGTTTTTTCTTAATCTCAGTGTGAAAGCAGTGCTTTTTTCCTCCTAAAGAGTGTGTGTATGTGTGCCTCTGCGAGGTATGTGCAAGCTTTTGTGGGGGCTCCTGCGTAAAGTATTTGTGCTCCTGAGGTGGCTGGGAGCAGCAGCCCCCAGGTAACAGGAGAACGTTGCCAAGGGAAAGCAGCTGGAAGCTCGAGCAAAAGGTTTCCTGAAAAGAGGGTGGAGGGTCAAAAAAACCAAACAGGCACTTGGGGATTTATTAAAGAAAACCCTGCTGTTTGGGGAAATTCCTGCCCTCGGCTGGCTGGAGACAAAGAGGTGGTAATGTGTACTTGTCCTGCTTCCCCTGTGCAGCCCTCAGCTTCTCTTTCAGCCGCTGCTGCCTTCTCCAAAATCCTCAATTTAGGAGGATGTTGGAAGTGTTCCCACACCTCTCCTGTACACAGACACAAGCTCGAGCAGCAGCATTTCACGCATTTTATTGAGTAACAGCTTCACCTGCAGCACAACACCATGAGGGCTCCAGGCCTTACCCACTGGGGGAAATCCTGCCACAAGTCAGTTGTTTTAAGACATTTCTTAACTCCTCTGTGCATAAGTTTAGCAACTGCTTGTATTAAGGCTTCTACCCCAGACAAGCCCTTTACAGCACACAAGACTGCAGAGAGCTCAGAATTATATGCCCACATACTGGGGAGAAAACAGCTGTCTTTATATTAATTAAACCTTTCAACAAAATTAAGTTACTTGCAATAAAATTTAGCTTCAGAAGAAACAAACCTACCTGAAATCCAAGCAAGGTTCCAGAGCACACACTAAAATATAACACAACTCTGTACACAAAGTGACACACTCTCCCCCCAGCTCGCTCACAAGGGGAGGAAGAATTTTTTTAGCAGGAAAACAGCATGGTAACATGACTTAAGTGTTATTTTAAACACAAATTATCTTAGATGATTTCAACAAACCTCAGCTTGCAATAATCAAGTCTAATCAGTTGTTATAAATAAAATTGTAAACAAGGAAGTTAGGGGTCTGGCAGTATTTCATTGCAAACAGCTTGCCGTCCGGCGTTGGGTCGGAGAAGGCGATTTCCTTGGTGCTCAGGTAGCAGCCGTACATGAACGTGCTCCTGAAAGAGAGCGCAGAGCTATCGGCGCACCGCAAACAGCCGGCTGCTTTATCCGACTCCTAAAACACACCACAGGGGTGTTCTCCCTCCCAGCCCTCTTCTGCAGGGAGCGGTTATGTCTCCTGTCACTTCATCTTCAAACCAGAGAAGATCGTTGTGAGATGCCAGTTTGCCCTCTCGGATTCTGGTGCAATCAGGAGGCATTTTAAAATTTGGAAGAAGGATAATGCAAGACCGAATACAGGCAGAGAACCCACACACACAGTTTTGCATGGAGACCCAGAAGTTGCAGTTAAATATCTTGGAGCAGTTCCCAAGCAAAGCCCACCACAGCAGTGCCAGGACTCTTGTGGGCACCCACAAGTCACCCAGGGCCAGTGGGTTTGGAATGTGGCACAGCGGTAGCACATCTACCAGCACATCCAACGCTAACCACGGGAGGAAGGGGAGACCAAACACTGGCTGATGAATTTTCAGAATACTGAGCTCCAGCTACACTCATATAGGGTTATATAAAAACACATACATAAGTACTCATATACTATATGTCTATTTTATATACATATAGCAAGCAGATACGTGCTACTACAGGCTCTTGGACCACCAAGCTCAGGCTCAAGGCAGTCCATATTAACAGATGAGGGGGAAGTTTTGAAGTCTTCCTCCCAGTTTGGTCTGAGCTTGAAAAGCTCAGAATTTCCTGCCTGGAAAAACTCAAGTGTTTGGGTCCAGAGATTAGTTGCTGCTTCAAGAAAATGTACTTCAAGTAAAAAAAAAAAAAAAAAAAAAGTTCCCCAACAAGTACCGTTTCTCTTGGAAAATGTAATCCTTGTAGCTCTGTGCTCTGGTTATACCCAGCAGTTAACAGCTTGGCCCACACTTGCATCAGATTTCAAATAAAAATGTTACTTAAATATTAGATATACATGGAATATCTGCCCATGTGATATCCTTCCACTATGAAGTGGGGATTCCAGACTTGCTCAAAGATACAAGTTTATCCATTTCCATAAGTTCCTTCTAAACACTTTTTGCTGCAATCACTGTTTTGTTTTGTTCCCCCCCCGCCAAGGACAAACCCCAGCTGGGGTCCCGGCTCCCTGCTGCCCTCCCACCGCTCCCTACCTG